AGCCTCCCCCGGCCGCGGTGGGGGCAGCCACAGCCTCTGCTTGCTCAGATCAGCTGAGTGGTGTTTGTCCTTCCTGCTACTAGCTAATATTTCACACCGTCATTGTATATCCATATCGGTGCGGAGCTCCTTCCCGGGCTTACTGACAGCTCTCAAAACCTCGCTCTGCTCTGTCATACTGAGGCCGGTCCGAGTTCCCTTCTTGCACGTATGTATGTCAGGAAGGGAACCCCGACAGAAGCTAACCCTTTGAAGACTAAAATTCAAGTTCAACTTGCATCTTTTAATAATGACTTCTTTTTTTTTTATTTATTTAGGAGTCTGCCTTTCATTTATTAATATTTTCTACTTCTGTTTTTCCATTCTTGATTACAGAAATACATTCTGATGAGAGGAAATGGAAGTGTGTTAGAGGTGCACTTTACCATAAACCTTAGTACATTTTATTTTTAAATCCTAACTCTGGTTTTACTTCATTTACTGTATTTAATTCTCTCGCTAGTGTCCAAAAAATCAACATGTCTAGCAAAAAGGCAAAGACGAAGACCACCAAGAAGCGCCCTCAGCGCGCCACTTCCAATGTGTTTGCCATGTTTGATCAGTCGCAGATACAGGAATTCAAGGAGGCCTTCAACATGATCGACCAGAACAGGGATGGCTTCATTGACAAAGAGGACTTGCACGACATGCTCGCCTCCCTTGGTAATGGCACTGTGCTGTCTATGCTTGCCAAGCAAATTTGTGCTGTCATAATTAAAATACTGAGTGTGGGATACGAGACGTGTCTCAGTTTGTATGACGCTATTGACATTACTTTTTAGTTTGAAAGCTAAACCAAATCTGAATCCCTTTCTTTGCAGGAAAGAATCCAACGGATGAATACCTAGATGCCATGATGAATGAGGCTCCAGGCCCCATAAACTTCACAATGTTCCTCACAATGTTTGGTGAGAAGTTGAATGGCACCGACCCGGAAGATGTAATCAGGAATGCTTTCGCTTGCTTTGATGAAGAGGCAACAGGTACGTGGGTGAAACTCAGCTGCTTGGCAGGGCTGTGGCTGGGTTTTTATGTTGTTTATTTTGGTTTCTAAATAGTATGCTGATTTTCACACTTTTAGATATGGAGCATGTAATCCTAGATGGCATGTTCTACCAAGTAATGAGAATTTGACTTATTACTGAGTGAGAGTAAAAGCTGTCTGGCTGTTCTGTGTCAGTACTGAGGACTGGGAGTAATGTTCTTCTGTAAGACTTTGAAGAAGAGTGTTTTAACAGTGTGTATGTTCCTCAAAGTGCAACTCAAGAGGAATTCGTATTGGTAGTGTGTGATTTTCTATGGTGTTGAAAAGGTAACAGTGTGAAATCTTTCTTACAACTGAGTTTGTCCTCCCTCTGGACGAGGTCTGAGATGGATCTGAATTCTGAAGTGTTTAATATTTCAAGACAGGCTGTCCAGACTTTGTGCACTCTTTTGAACCCTTATCTTGCAGAGTGTCCTTTATGGCTCTGATGACAAATGCCATGTGTTGTGCCCTCACCCACAGCTCAGTTTGTTTTCACATCACAGGAAGGGCTGTAGCCTTAGTGGTCTAAAGATAAAAACCGGGTGGGGTCTAGAAGGCAGAAATGACAGATTGGACGGACTTGCGTGGCAAGATGAGGAGAAGGAGGTAAACAGAGAACTCAGTTTTACTACATCAGACTTTCAAGCTTGCGCCTGTAATCTAGAGGTTAGAGTTTATGCTTTTATTTGTGTATTCACATAGGTTAAGATTCCTGGGAAGTGTGTAATAACTGAGGATGAATCGTTAGGGCAGTTCTGCAGAACTACAGAGTATCAGCACTTTGATATGTTGTGAGTGTGTCTTGCTAGTGCGTGCTGAAATTATGTATCCTCTGTACTGGA